TTGCTGCCGTTTTGAATTTAGTCAGTGGGCACAGAGTGGGCAGAAGATGCTCACTCTGATCTGCTTCACCCTCAGTATGGGAGATTAGATAAGGGCTCAGAATGAGATCCAGAGAGACAGCACAGAGCCACAGCACAGCTCTCCTCTAGGACACTCCTGGCTCCAATGACTTCCATTACAACCTGGTGTGACCAAAATACTGATTTGCGAGAGCAAAAGGGAGCAATTAGCACTCTTATTTTGTATATGTCCACTTGTGAGAGCAGTAGCACGCCTTTTTCAACAACTTTGGTTGTTCTAACACGGTTTGACCATAGTGTTGGATGTAAAATTTTTGGTGAACAGATAAAAAACACAAAACACACTTAAGACCCACAGGGCTGATTAGTTTCTGTAATCAAAACCTCTAATAATGTGTGATGATTCAAAGGCTTGAATAAAGAATAAATGATGCAGGTTGTTTATAACACATGGCCACATTCAGTACACCAGTTAACTTGCTCAGGTCCCCTTCACACTGTATGATGATCCTGCAATAACGTAAAATAAATCAGCCAGAACTTGGATTGTTGTAACACATTGTTACCAAGGCCTCGATGTGCATACCAAGAATGCAGTGGGCTCTCCAATGGTTTTGAGCATGCACATCATTTACCGTATAAGTTGTCGTGGTTAAATAATCTGGTAATCCTTTCTTTTAGTCCCCTAATTACTGTGCAATTACCTAGTATTTACATGATAAGTAAAACATTTTACCATGCGATTACTTGATAATTATTATAATTTATTACGCAATTACTGGGTAAGAACATATTAAACATTATGTAATTATACAAATTTTAGTGGATAATTTATTATAATCACAGTTCAATAGTAGGATTTGCCAACAGATTGCAACGTTAATTTTACAGTCACCTAATTACCACATAATTACAAAGTTAATACTTAGTAAATTTATTATGTAACTAAACACTATATAATATGTGGAAATTTAGTTGTACTATTTGGGTTAATATCATGTAATTGAGGTAGCCTACTCTTGAACAGAAATTCAGTTGTAGTTGCCAAATTTTTTTGCTTGGCCCTCAGAGGAGTTGGACTCTTTTTGTTCTCTCTCCCAAACCTGCCCCTTCATTCCTGCTTTGCAGCTTTCTCAAGCCTTTCTTCACCTATCATCTGAAACAAAAAGAAACTACCGATTTGCTCAACTGGTCTCTGAAAGCAATAGACACTATTTTTTCCACATTAAGATTGGAACAAGGGGAACATACTGTAGTTGTCCCAGTGGAATGGTTGCTGCTGGTCAGGTCAGTGGTTCTTGGGGCTGGAACCTGATCTGTTTGGCTCCATTTTCCATTGAAGATGTGGAAGATTTGTATATATTTGGATTTATGATAACTGGATTTCTGCTGATTGGCTGTGGCAGATTTCTGAGTTATCAGAAAATGAAAGAGATCCTGGCAGCGGTGTGGGCCTTTGAGAAGCTGATGGAATCTTCCAAAATGGATGGAACCTGCCAATCTGAGAGCGCACAGACTCAGATGCTGGGGGAGATAAGTCACTAACTGGATGTGATTCTGATGAGAATAGCAGGACAGGGGCCTGCCTCTTGAATGTAGGAGGATTACATCTGGGTGAAGCTTCAGATGGCGAGAGGCATGGAGGACACAAAATTTGGAACATTTGGTATTTTTTTCGCCATTTTCAGAGATGCAGAAAAGACTGAAAGTAGCAAGAAAAATTCAAGGCCGCTTGTCCCAAAACAATTGTGTTTATCTTTTCGGAACCCAGCTTCTGGCACATTATCTAAAAATTCCCCGGGAGGATATGTCAACAAGGGCTTGAGTCCCCCCCCACCCCCCTGCCCCTATCATCCGTGTGGGAGCAGTCTGAAAGCTGTTAGGAAGAAGGGGAAACTCTGAACTCTAGTGAACTGAGCATGAGACAAATAAAATCTGGTCWCTGGACTCTGGTGGGCCTTGGATCGATTCTGTGTTTTTGAGTAAATATCAGATCAGAGCATATTTTTTAACTCACCTATCCTATAGTGTTTTTCCAAGCTTCAAAAAGTAGCACAACCCTGTTGCGCAAGACCTGTTCATCTGTTCCCCCATGTTTGTTATGTGTATCTTTCTTTTGAACGGGTGTTCTTAACTGCAATTTCGTTCTGCATTGCATCTCTGATGTTGTGTGTGAATTACAATAAAGGTGATTCTGATACTGAAATAAAAATATTTTTACTAATATAGTAATTTATTATAATTTACTCAGTGCTTATTTGGTAATGACATGGTAATTAGGTACTATATATGTATAGTATGTGAAATATAGCTTGAAATTTTGTGGTAAATGCTGTGTAATTGAGGTTCTTCTATGTATTCACTTTTTAATAACAGGGTAATTGGGTGACTAAAATAACATCGGTAATATGTTGGCAAATAGTGGGTAATTGAAATACCACTGAAGTGTAAATTTAATAAAATTACCCACTAAAATGTGTTTAATTACATATAATTTTATGTCCTTATAAATTAATCATACAGTAAATTACAGTAGTTACCAAGCAGTTGCATGGTAAATTGATGTTACCATGTATATGCTAGGCAATTCCATGGTAATTAAGGGACAGTAAAACAAAGGGTTACCAACAATCCTTATGGTAATGGGCTCCTTTGTGAGGCATGGAGGCACGGTATACATGAGGAAGAGCCACATCAGGTTTGATGAAACATGTTAGACGTCTTAAACAACAGAGGGGTGCACATATGTATTTGCCAAGTACAAGGAGAGTAGCAGTATCGTGACTGCTTGAAGGAGGTCTTGCCACRTTCCAGCCACACTCCAATCATCTCACTCATCCAGTATGAGGGAGATTGTGACAGTTGACACACACAAGAGTACACAAAAACAACATTTGTTTTAATTCAGTGGTGAAAACAATAAATGTTAAAGGGACCTTCATTTAAACACATTTCACTGCAGTTATCCAGAGCAGATGTTTTAAATTTGGGGGTTCAGCCATTTGCTTCGTTTTAACCCTCTGAGTTTAGCTTTAAATGGAGGAGAATGGAAATCTGAATCCATCATCCCTTTGAAATGTGTTACTTTTAGCAGGGGTTAGAACATGTTTAATGTCTTGTTTAGTTCTTCATTGATCGTTTTGACCTGTCCAAGTTCTTCCAAAAAACTGACATCCATTCATTTTAAAAGTTAAAAAAGATTTATAACAAGGTTATAACTGAGGACTCTCTGAATTTGTCACCAGCAGAGTAATGCTGGAAAAGTTGGCCAATTTCTTCCAAATCAAGATCTCCGAGGATGAATAGACGAGAGAAGCCCTCAGTGGTTAGTGTGGAGTTTGATTTGCTGTTAGGTGGTTAGATTCTGCTTTGAAGCTTCTTCGGTTTAGGTCCTATTAATTTTATTTTGGAAAGCGAACCTCTTTAACCCTTTGAGCTTGAAAATGTCCGCCAATTCTCTTCTATATCATCTCCTAGCTAAAATGTAAAGATTGTCTTAGAAATGCAAAGACTGATTTGTGTCTTTAATCCAAAACCTGCTAAATAAGTGTAGTATATCAACAAACAACTTCCTTAAATTTTTTTTGTTAAATTCTTGACTTGAAATTTATTCTAGTCTATGTACTCCAGTTGTTTATAACTATCATTCTTATTAAAAGACAAACTATAGACACAAGGGAAATGTATTCAAGATCATTCTTTTACAAAAATTATTTTGTAAGTGGGTAAGTCCTAATTTGACCCACTTTAGTATTTAGCATTTAGTGCTCAAGCCATTAAATTTGGATTTTTGTCCTAACTACTCTCAGGAACGGTGCATTTTTCGTTACACCACAAGAGAGCAATGAAGTCCATTGGTAAGAGCTGGGTATGAATGCAAAGATTGTTTTGTTTCCATAAAATAAATATGCATGGAGTTCATTTAGTTTGTTCGGCTGTTGCATGAATGCTTCATTTTAATCATTTTTTTCCTCTTGGAGACAGATTTTTATCTTTAGAATTCATCCTCGCATGTGTTGCAGTTCACAAAACCTTTTTAAAGGATCCCCTAAAGCTAACAGGCTTGAAATGCTTAATTTAGGATAATGCAAACTACAGCTCAAACATATCTAGAGACATCCCTGTAGGGATGTCGTGTATTTCCAATTATGTCTTGTTTTTTTACCCCCATTCTTCTTTTTTTTATAAGAATCAACCACCTTCAGCAGCACAAACACACGGCACAAGGCAACGAGGCTGAGACGTTCGCCACTCAAAGGGTTAAAGAATCTTCACTTCGACGGGACCACATTCAGATCTTAGGGCACTGCTAATGCCGAATACAAGACAAGTTAGAGGTGCCCAGATGGTGCAATGATTATATGATTACTGCAAAGCAAACACCTCAACAGTCCCTTTAACTTTTAGTGACTTTCAGTGGGAGAGAGAGGGGAGAGTTCTGGTTTCACCAAATCAAATGAGAATCATACGTATTGTTTTGTTGTTTTGTTATGAGTGATAGAATGTGTTGAATACAAGTTCACATTCAGCCAACAGAAGACACAGGAAAGAAGCAGAAGGCTGTTTCCACGTGGTCAGGTTATTAGAGGGTTATGTCGGGTTATTTGGAGGTTAGGTCTCTGAAGAGATGCAGCCCCAGTTTAAGGTGCTTTGGATAAGGTCTCTTGGATACAAACATGTCAATTATTGAGGATGGCATTAAACTAAATTTCAGCTGGATGCCAGTTACAGCATCGAAACAGCTTTGACACTGAACTAGAAGTCCAACTAAATAGGAAAGAATGCCATGTTTTCTTCTSAAAATGCCTCGTTCCCAGTTGAGTTTCCCACTACTTATCGGTTCAGAGGAGACCTGGACTTTATAGTTCATGAGCCAAATCACATCCGCCCCTGCTGCATGGCACTGCACCTTCTCCAGAGATGTGGTTAACGGTGGGTTAGGCGGTTAGATCATTAGTGGAGTTAAAGGGTTTTTATTACCTTTTTCGTATAGCCACTCGTCAACTACCCGACCATATCGGAAGGGGATTCTTTGTCTAGCAAGTGCCAGGCGCTCATTATCAATGTTCCCTTTAAGAAATTTGGAGAAGACAAATTGAGAAAGGTTACAAAAGCAGCTCTGGAAGTTGAAAAGTTAGAGGTTAGAAGGGCAACACTGCAAATGTTTAGCAGGTTAATGTACTTTAAATCAGCTTTAGTTAGGACAGGAAGAACTTGATGTATTTTTTTTCTTTTAGTCTGGTTTGTTTGGTTAGACAGGTTAACAACATTCTAGTTACCTTAAGTTTTAAATGATTATTTTACACAAATCTACTGACAGGTTAAACAGATTTATGAGTTATTTAGATGTAATAAGGTTACATTTTTTACAATTAAAGTCATCTGTAAAGTAAAGGCAGGTTAGAGGAGAATTAGCAGGGAAATCAGCAAACAAAAATACAACATTGTTAAAGAATAAAGCAGAATGAGACATCTCAGCATTAAAGCACTGTTCATACATAAAGGAGCATGAGATAACCACACAGTACAAAAAAGTAATTTCATGGTTGTTCTCAAGGAAAGCAGATTTTAGTTCCCATTGCAAACACTGAGTTGCTAATTAGCAAATCACCACATCTGAAATTCGACAACAGCGTGACATTCTGGCCCAAGAGCATCACTTTACCCCAAATCAGACATGTCTTCTTCACCTGTAGCAAAATGGATTAGGTAAAATTGTCAGAGTGCTGTTTTCCCCCCCTCAGCACTTGGTTATTTATTTATTTATTTATTTACCCCCCTTCTTATGCATTAATGGAGCACTTCTCATTGGCACTTAGCAATTAGCAGCACTTCATCAGCGTGTCAAAGAAGCTTCATCGCTGCTGTGCAAACTTATTATCCCTCACTTCACTTCAATCAACCTCGGGGTCACACTGCACGCATCTCAAGTCCTGTCAATAGAGATGGAATTAGGAGAGATGAGGGGGCGGACGGGGACCAGGCTGGGGTAGGAAGGGTGGGGTTTGATGAAGGCTGATGTGGTGGCAATGTCACGGTTTTAATTGGGAGTTATTGTCTCTGTCAAACGAGAATCTTTGCAGACTACAAGCTAAAAGTCAGAGCACTAAATTTAAATAACGATGCCTAAAGATACAGTTCTAACACATTTTGGATAGAAATCCAAAATCTGTTGGATGTTTACAACATTAAAAAGTTGGTAAGTCTTATAGAATAGTTACATTCACAGCAACAGATCTGTTTGAACTCCAGTTGACAMTGAAAATTTCTACACTTTGGACCAGCTTCAGAGCTGGTCTGGACCCGCATACATTTGATAGTCTGAACACAATCGGTCTTGTGCAAAACTATAAGACTCCACTAACTTGATCCTATAGGCTGATTTGTACTTCAAGTCACAAGTGTTGCGCATGCAGTATGGTGACTAAAAGTTGTATAGCTTCCGTCTTCTGTCCCTCTGGTGACAGCCGTCGTGTGCATTACCCCCATTTAGAAATATTACCTGCAGACTTTGTGGCTCACAGTGTGTGACTGGTCAGAACTTTGTGGATATGTTTGTTCATACAGAGCACTGTGGCACCCAGAGCAGAGTGTATCTCTGCATGTCATTTTGTTGAAAATGATCTGTTCCCAGGAGCCGTTTGTTAAATTAGCAAAATGCACAACTTTGTCTGATCACGAGAAAGTGTAACGGATGTTTATACCTTCTTTCAATCTCTGTTTTTTTATGAAATAAATCTAAAAAATTGTTTTAATTCTCTGAATCCTCACCCAACTAGGGTTGGTCATTGAGTCTTGTGTATCGAGACCAGACTAATGTTTCAATTCTCCCAGAATTGTCAGTACTTTTAAATTTTGATACCTAGTTTGAATACCCAGTTCGCCGACTAGAAGAAGCAGCCGCCCAACAACAATGAAGAAAAAACCCAGGTGAGCTGCTGAACACCAATTGAGTTGGTGTTTGGACTCACATTGTCAAATTAAGTGAAATAGTCTGCAGGTGTAATTGTGTTTGGTACGTCTTGAAATGAGGAAAACATTTCCAGGCTAACCAGATTAATACACACTCTGCTCTTGCTTAGTATATCATCTCAAACCAAGGTAAAATTACTCTTTGGCTGAATATACGTGTACAATTTGGTTAGATGGACAAGTTTTGTAGTACCCCTGTGTGAAAATTAAGTACACACCTGTTCATCTAGAAAGAACTCTGGTTAGCTAACTCATTTGAACCATGTAAACTTTTTTGACCCTGCCTCTAAAAAGAATCAAAATTGGGAATCATTGGGAACCAGAATCTAAATGAGGATTCAGAATCGTTCAAATTAAAACAATGCCCAACCCTACACCCAACACAAGACTAATGCAACGTCCTGCTATCACTGTTGTTATTTATTAGGGCTATAAAAATACCTCAGTCCACATTTATATATCGATTAGATGATCATTTACTTAAAGGCAAAACAAAAACATCAATCCACACAGTCATTGTATTCCTGATGTGGACCAATTTTATATTCATATCTAACGCAAATCTAACGAAATCAAATCATGAAAGACTCAGCGATAGAGAAACACGGTTTCGTCATCCAAACAAATCAATAAAGCCGCTGATTTACACCCTTGTCTTTACTATATATGCTTATCTATGCACTGTGCTACGGTACACTGGGAAGGCAGATGAAAAAAATTATGGTCATTTGTCCTTCATTGCATCTTCAGCCCAACTTCAGCCCATTTATACTCGGTTAGAAAAAAGATGTCCGAAATTACATTATCACCAATCCATGGCCTCACGTCGTACTGAAGTATAAAACAAGCTTAAGCAGCAAATTGGACATGATGTTTTAGGATAAAATCAAAAAATGTTCAATCAGCTTCTGGCTCAATAAATTTGCTTTTCCATGGATGTTTGGAAATATTCTGAAGACAGAGTTTTTTGTTTTGTTTCAGTTAAATTTTTTTAATGAATTGTTTATTGAAATCCTTGTCAATATAAAGCTTTGTTTTGTCTGGATTATTTTAATCACAGTGGGTTAGAAGATGCTGTATGGTAAGTTTTTCTTTAGTTTAATGTTTGTTCTGGATGTTTTTGGACCAACTGTGATCACTGTACTAAAATGTCTTGTGTTTATCACAAAACACAAGTATGAGCAACGTATGTCATATCATAGTCACTTAAATAGGCTTAAACTAATGTTACACTCACACTGTGTAAAACAGCTTATTGTTCATGTGATTTCATTCTTTTATATTGTCTGTTAGCTACGCTGATCAAGAGATGTCGTCAACGCACTCTTTCATTGAGAGCCCACCCTGTGATGTGGCTGTGTGTGTATCTGCATACAATGAAGGTAATTAACTTAATTAAACAAAAACTTTTAAGTGTACACATTTTACTACAGAGGTATCATTCCTGACCGCTTGAAATTTAATCAGCCAAAATGGATTTATAATAACACGTCTGCACAGCCTCTAAAAACACACAAAAAGGAAACAACATGGAATCGTCATCTCAGCAGCAGAGTTGGACTCTGAAGAATATAATCCTGCATCTTCTTTAAAATACTCTTTAATCTGACTCCACCCCACCCCTCCACAGCCCCGTGCTGCTGCAGGGATCGAAAATAGACCAGCTCACTTCTGCAGTACCTACTTCCTCTCCCCAGGGGTCTCTCTATCTCAACCCACGCCTGCCTGGCTTCCTGTGTAAAAAAAAAGCTCACACAACGGTTGCACACACACATTGATGTGTGTGAAGACCATGCAGCTGATTGTGAGAGGAAGAAGGGCACCTCGAAAAGGATAATAATATCTTAATGGAAAAAGAAAGGAAAGAAGAATAAAAGATATCTGGCACATGGATGTTGATAAATTCTGTAAAAAAACATATTTGTTCAGAGAACTGGTCTGTGAAGACCAACTGAAAGTATTTGATCTGAAAACAAAATTTTAATGTCTAAGATTTATAAGTATTATAAGTATTCACACAAATGACATTTGGTGTGGTAGTAGTTAAGACTGATTTGCATTTTATACTATGGGGAAATGTTTATAAAGAAACTTATGGTAAAAATAACTGGGAAAGTTTCACAAATTTAGCTTCTAAGAATGTTTGAAAAAGTAGTGTGGATTTTCTAACCTCACATTTTAGCACATTTAAATAGTAAAGTCTAAATGCTAAATATAAACGTAAATATTAAATCTTAAATTTTAATGGTAAATGGTTTTGCTGTAACTAAATATTTACCGTTAGCTAATATGCAACTATGCAAAGTTTTTATAGAATGTTATTTTTATTCTATAAACATAATCAGGCTTTTATTTTGGGACTTCTGGTTACAGGCAGTGTGAATAAGCTAAATAATGTGAATTTCAGCGAAAYCTTTTTATTTAATATTTAACTATTAAATTCAGCATTTAGCATTTATTATTCAGATTTGGATGTAGTATTTAGCTTTAACTATTTAAATGTTAAAAAAGTGATTTTAGAAAATCCACGTAACTTTTTCAAATATTGTTTGAAGTTAGATGAGACTAACTTTTGCACCAAGTGCTTTCCAAACGCCCCACATTACACTGATTGTGGAGGAGCTGTTTTTTTAAACTTCACAATTAACCATTGGAATCAATCTTGATGGTAATTAGCAAAATATTTCTTCAACCACTTAATGTAACTAATCTACAGCGGAATGGAAAAATTCTGATGATTTACCCTGTCTTGGTGTTTTAAAATGCTGTATTTCTTCATTTGTTTTTAAAATTGTTTCATTAAATGGCCACATATTCTAAAATTTTACATGACCCGGGCAGTCGGGCAGTGGTATTTGTCAAACCCTGGTCAGTCTCTTTACGTACTTTGAGCTCAACACTTGCCACACACTCAGCACACCTGATTTGTTAAAAAAAACTTATAAACCACTGGATGGATTTAAAGGAAACTTCCAGAAAAAGAAATGTACATCTGCAACTGATTCACTTTTAGGTCAGTGTAATTCAAGATGGCCTCCACAGCTTACTGATCTTTAAAAAAAAAGAAACGGTCTTTACTTCAGTGACTTTTTTCAGAT